CAGGTTCATATATCTGAGCTGATAAGGGCTGCCTGGTGCCACCGAGTGTATCTCTGCCTTAATGACCATGCTGATGGAAGAGTGCTCCCAAGCCACAAACCAGATCCTTTGGAGAGAAGGCACCCTCTGTAAAACAGGCCGAGCGTTTTGCTGGGCAGACGACCCACCCGGTAAGAGTGTCGTCTCCTTGTTTGGACTCCTTCTTGCTGAGCCTCGGTTCAGCAGCCCTCGTCCGGCCAATTCCTGTGCTCGGGCAGCAGGTGCAAACAGCCGCAGCCTCACCTGGGCCGGATGAAGAGCAGAGGCAGCGATGGTGTCGTCCGCAAATCGATGGCCTCTTGGCCCAAACCACGAGAGCGTTTCCCCCAGTGCCTTCATTGAACCATAAAGGGAACAGAGCAGGTCCAGGGGAACCCCACGGCATGGCTGCCATGGCACAGAGCAGAAATCCCACAGCAGCACCTTCTGGGACCAGCCATCTGCACAGGAGCAGAACCATTGCCTCCCCAGCTTCCCGCCCAGACTGCCTTCCCAGAAGGATGCTGTGGTCTAGGCAATGAAAGCCGCAAGAGTCCAAGGGGCTCAACAAGGCCACCTTCCCTCTGTCCTTCTCCCTAGTCTCTGAGGAATCTGCAAAGGTAGTGCACATGTATAAAGCACTTAGAATTTTTAATAATTTTATATATATAATTTATTTTTTCTAATTTAGATATAAATTTATATATAATTTAAAATTAATAGATGTATAAATATATTATAAATTTATATGAATTATAAAATATTTTATATTTTATGAGTAAAGGAATTTCATTCAGATGTGGCCAAGTCTTAGAGGATGGTTTGAATGAGGGTGAAGGACACCCTAAATCTTAAAGTGGGAAGTGTTGGGGCAATTCAGGTAATTCCTGGCAGGATGGGGTTGCTTATAGGTGCCTTTGTGTTATAAAATCAAACCCGCACCCCTTTCTCAGAAAGCACCCAATCTCCAAGCCACGTTACTGTTTAGCATTTGCTGTTACTTTAAGAAGTGGGAAGGACAGCTTGCCGAGAGACCGCCAGGGCTCTTGTTTTGCTGATCAGGAAGAACTGATAATGCTGCCAGGTTAACAGCATTGCAATCGCCCTTATTTGCATGCCAAGACCCGCAGAAATCCCCGTGCCGCAGGGATCCTCCTGTTACTCTCCTGCCATCAGATGCCATGGCATTGAGCCCCTCTGCAGAGCTCTCACCTTCTTCCACCCGTGTTCCCCTTATTTTGTCATCAACTGCCCAGTCGCTGGGCCCATATGACTCAGAATCTATAAAACACTCTGTATATGTTCTAAAGACTTGGAGTTGGCGGTGGAGACCACTAAGTAGCCTGCTGGCGTAAGGAGCTGCAGGGGTCCTGGGTGATCTTTCGATAAAGCTGCGGAGGTTCGAGGCGAAAGGGTCTTTCCTGGCTGAGCCCTGTTATCCTGCCTCGCGGCTGCCGCTGAGCCTTCCTGACAGACGCCAATGCCAGTTTTGCAGCTCATAAAACAGGGACACAGAACCTCAAGCTGGAGGGAGCAGATCAATTTTTGAGGGATTCAAATGCAGCTCTCTGGGGATCCCCAGGAGACCACACTTCCTCCCCCAGACACTGACCATTTGCTGTTTTCCCTGGTTTTCTGAAGCTTTTTCTCCCCATTTTAAAGGGTTCTCCTGAATGGCTCTTTTCCAAGGCTTAACTATGCACTTGAAGTAAAAGCTTTAAGCTAAACCAAGACAATATTTTAGGCTCTGTCCCCTGCTTTGAGTCCTGCTCAGTGCTGGAAAGCAGCTCAGGAAAGTTTACCTGACTTGCAGTTCAGCCCTTGGGCTGAAAAGCATTCTGCAGCTGCCATCAATAAAACCAAATCTTGTTCTGGAACTCATTTAATTCTGCCCTTTTCGTTCGTGCGACTCCCCTCCCCACCCCCAGTCAAATTTCCAGATGCAGCAAACTAAAAATTAACTGGGAAAAACCAAATGAAGAGGACCTGAAACTTGGCAGATTCGATTAACGTCATCGGGGACCTGATTAAAAAACAAAGCAATAAATAAAGTACAGAGGCCAAGGCAATAACTAAAAGAGACGTGAGTTATTGCTTGGAAAACAGCACTGGGTGGGTTGGGTTTTATGCTGGGGTGGAAGAGGGCAGGCAGATGGCAGGAACACCGATCCAAAAGGCCACAGCGCCTCAAGGCTGATCATGTGGGTTGCCAGAGTTCAACTATGTGCCAGTGGATCGATCGCATGATAATTTAATCACACCATGTCTACATGTGGGCTTGGCATGCGGTCCACCCAAAAGCGGAAAGTGCTTGGCGTGCTTGCTCTGGAGGAGAGATGGCTCAGGGGACACAGGCTAGCCACATGCTGGTTTGAGGGGCTGTTGCCCAAAGAGGATGGAGAACAGTGTTTCCTGGTTCCAGACGGCAAACCCAGTGGGTGGGAATTGCAGGAAAGCCAACAATGAGGAGGACAATCCCTCCGGCATGAGCTGCTTCACAGAGAAGCAGGCTGCCTCGGGCAGTGGTGTCTTCTTCACTGGAGACTCTTCTGGAAGGGCAAGAGAGTGGAGAGGGATTCAAGGTCCCCTGTGCCTCTAACATCCTGAGGATGCTGGTTTCTGACTCCTAGCCGAGCAGATCAGAGGACGCTGCCCCAGCCGGTCTAAGCACTGGGATGCAAGCAGCCAAGCCCCCAGGGAACGAGCGGCCAGGGAGAGCCCACAGGAGTTTGGTGGTGGAGTTCAGCCAGGGAGATCAAGGGGAGGTCGCTAACACTTCTTTCTTCCTCCTCAGTTCCCCCGTTTGTTTCCTTCCTTGTAACACCCTCCCATTTACTGCAAGGACTGTGTTGTTGGCCTTTAGTGAAGACGGGAAAGCACCGGTTTCCCCAACAGGCCCAGCAAGCCAGAATCAAAAAGGTAGTGGAAAGAATGGACCAAGAAGACTCCGCAGTGGCGGTGACCTACAACGTCCATGGCGTTTGTTTTCTCGCCTGAGGTCCACCTGTGCAAGAAGAGCCGTCTAGCGGCCCTGTTAGGAGGAGAGGCGAGAAGAGGATGAGCAGTGCAGGAGCAACAGCTCAGGGTGTGCAGGAGCTGGAAGTGCCACAGCAAGCTGAGGTGTAAGAAGAAAACTCTGAGGGAAGGGGAAATGAGGAGGAAGCTCCTTGGAAGGGGTGACAGGGAGGTGCAGAAGAACTTGAGGGCACCCTGCACCAGTGGAAGCGGTGGGGCTCTTGACCCACTACTCAGGATGAGGCTGGAGGGCAGCACGCTGTGAAGAGGCTGCAAGCCATCCCGTGCGGCACTGAACCAGAAGCCAAAGGTCAACCGAAGAGTGGGAATGATTCCAAGGCTTGGCAAGGCCAAGACGAGAAGCGTGCTGGTTGTGGAAGACTCCCTCCCGTGTGGGATGGAAGCGTATGTAAGCCAGGAGGACCTGTGGGCTCGACTCGTCATGCTGTCTCCCTGGAGAACAGATTAGTGGCACACCTGAAAGATTGCCAGGGCTCCTGCAGTCCACTGGCATGTATCCCTTCCTTCTTGTGCATGTGGGAAATCATGGCACTGCCAGCTGAAGCTTGAAGAGCTCACATTTGAAGCTTTAGGGAGGAAAGTCGAGAACTCCAGGGCCCAGATTGTTTTCCTCTGGATCCTTCCAGTTCTTTGAGGAGGAATAGGCAGGGAAAGAAAAATACCCCAGGTGAATGAAAAGGTGGTGCTGACGTGAGGTATTTGGATTCTGGGACCATGGGCTGGAAGAGGGACTGCTGGCAAGGGATGGGTTGAACCTTGGAAAGGAGGTGTTTGGCCACAGCGTGAAGAAGTTCATCAGGAGGGCTTTAGACAGAGTCCTGCAGGGAAGGGAGAAGCACCCTTGGGTGCATCACAACAGAGAAGCTCCAGCAGTGCCCAATAACACTCTTCCAAAAATGTAGGAAGAAAGCTAGAGTATAAAGTGTGTGGTCTTCGATGTCTGTCTTCTAACCCCCAGAGGCAAAGGGCACCCAATTCCTCCAATGAAGAGAAAAAAGATGCTTGAGAAACAAGGTGACAGCTGTCTTCAGGTCTATGTGGATGATGGAGGAAATTTGTTTTCTGTTTCTCTAGATGGTAGAGCCCAAACCAGTTCAAATATGAAGAACAGGCATTTCAATTCAACATCAGAAAGAACTCCTCAGATATTCATTTATTATATGTCTATTCCACCCTTTCCCTCTTGTGAGGAAACTCAGGTGGCTTAGCATCATCCTCTTTCTCTCAATTTTACCCCCACAACAACCTTGTGAGGTAGGCTGAGTCAGGGACTGGCCCAAATTCACCCAGGGAAACTTGAACCTGGATCTTCCAAGTCCTAGTCCAGCATTCTCCTCATTACGCCGCACTAGCTTAGCTGGTGGCATTTTCCTAGCAACCAACCATTTCCCTAGCAACTTTATTACATTTATATCCCACCTTTCCCTCTAAGGATCCAGGGCAGCATGCACGAGCCTCCCTTTCTCACTTCACAACAACCCTGTGAGGTAGGCTAGGGTAAATCAGGGACTGGCCCAAAGTCAGCCAGGAAATTACCTGGCTGGGTGAGGATCAGGTCCCAGGTCTCCCCAGTTCTAGCCCGACACTCTAAGCACACGGACTTAGAGCAACCTAGAGCAACTAACTCCGACATGGTTGGAGAGCGTGTCTACTCTCTGCCTGGCCCACCTCGCAAGGTTGTTCTGAGGATGCAATGCGGGGGTGCTTCGGGCACTACCTTGATCCTTTCAAGGGTGAGACGCAAGAGGAACATCCCTCCCAGACAGCATTTTCCTGCTTATGTTAGACACAAGGCCTCCCGGCGGCCCCGGTGAGGAGCGGTGCTAGCCGCTCTGGGCCTCCTCTCTATGGCTGCTCCGGATTCCCCCGCCCTCGCTACGGTCGCATTTCCTGGTTCCGCCCGTCATGTGACAAGGCGGGGCGTCCGCGCGCAGGCGCAGGAGCGAGACCGGCTGCCGGAGCCGGGACGGGTCACGACCATGTCTCGCAAGCAAGCGGCGAAGGCCCGGCCCGGGAAGGCGGAGACGGAGCGGAAGCGGGACGAGCGGGCGGCGCGGAGGGCGCTGGCCCGCGAGAGGCGGAACCGGCCCGCGGCGGACGGCGAGGGAGGCCTGGCCGGGCAGCTGCGGGCGCTCGGGCTGCGTCTCAGGGAGGTGCCGGGCGACGGGTGAGCCAAGCCCCGCCTCCTCGGCCTGGGGAGGGAGCCCCGCCCACTCGCGACAGGCCCCGCCCACGCCCGCGTTCCTTCGGAATAAGCCCCGCTTGCAAGGCTCAGCGGAGCCTTCGGTGACCCGCAGCCCCCGTCACCCTCAGCCCGCATGGGCCAGGTGGGACTGCAAGCCCATCAGCCCCAGCAAGCTTGTGCCAGGTGGCATTCCATCCCCCATGACCGCTAGCCAGCATGGGCCAGGTGGGACTGCAAGCCACATCACCTCCAGCCAGTGTGGGCCATTGCAAGCCCCATCATCCAGACAGCCCCCATGCCCATCTCAGACTCCTTGCAGGAAATGGAAAGAGAAGCATAGCAGCGGCAGAGTTCTGGCAGAAGACAGGTTTCTTCCCATGGGACAGGAGCTGAATCTTCAGAGGAGGACTCAGCTAAACGTTGTGGTGCCAAGGAAGGAAGGCACAGCAGAGGAATGAAGAGTGAGAGAGTATCTTAACGTTTTCATTTCTTCAGTCCAATGCACTTTAGTGATAACACTCCATCGGGGACACTGCGAAAGAGGCCCCTTTCTTGTCTTGTCTCTGTACTCTGCCTCTGTTGCAAAGTGGTTCCTCTACCAGGGGGTGGGCAAATTGTGGCCCTTTGGATGTTTTAGTCTGCAGCTCCTGAGACAGTAAGGGATGGTGGGATTTGTAGGCCAAGACATAGGCCCACGTGTTTTCCATCCCTGCTTTTGTTTTGTAACCATGGCACATAGAAAACAAGATGTTGTTTTACGCAACCTGTGGCAAAGTTTGTTAGATATGTTAGGCTGGTTAAACTAGTCCACCTTAGTCATGCTGTATCTCTCTAACTGGCCTTGAAGTTTTGGGCATCCTTTCCAGAAGAAAAAATAGTGGGAAAACTAGGTATGAGAAGGATAAATGTTTACAACTCTGGCACAGATAAATCCAGTGGTTGGGAATACATTTACTTAGCCAGAAGGAAATAGTCTTGATTGTACTGGAGGATACGTTTCACTCTTTTGCAGCAGGAAGGGCCAGACAAGTTAATTTGGTGATCAGCTTGCCCCGTGTGTCATTAACTGTGAACTCAATCCAGTGCTTTCCCCCCTCTTGTTGACAAATCTCACCCAAATTCATCTGGAGTTCTTCTTCCCACAGGAACTGCTTGTTCCGGGCCCTGGGCGACCAGCTGGAAGGACACTCTCGAGGCCACCTCAAGCATCGGCAGGAGACGGTGGACTACATGATAAAGCAGCGGGAAGATTTTGAGCCTTTTGTGGAAGATGATGTCCCTTTTGAGAGGCATGGTGGGTGCACCGTGTGGGGGCTTAGCCGGCGTCGAGGCACTGCCTGCAGTGTCGCCTTTGAGAAAGGCTCAGAGGTCGCTGTGGGTCCCTCGTCAGCTGGGACTGGCCAGTCTCGCGCTGGATCTGAAACTCGCCTCTCCTGGAGGCTGGTCCATTTCCAAGCTCAAATCAAAGTTCGTGCTTGTTTGTAAAGGCCTTTGTGGTTGAGCATCAGGTCCATACGATGGTGTTACTTCTGCGTAAAGTTGTTGAGTCTCAATGGGCTGAGGAGAGTCTTCTCTGTTATTTAGTCCTCCCTTTGGAATGCCTTCCACCCCCCGTGGGTGACCTGACTTGCCCTCTCTTGCCTCCTTGGTGCAAGACAGATCTTTGCATTTTCCCACAGCTCTTAAAACCTTGGTTAATATAGTATTATTCTGCTGTTGTGTTAATATGTGTCCATTTTATGCTGCTTCATGGCTTCATTTTATTATTTTTGTTGTTTCCATACTCTGTACACCACCTGGGAAGCAGTAGCACAGAAGAGCAGGTGTAACTCCCAGACAGGTGCGGAAGAGCCTGCTCTCAGGCTAGCTGGCGATTTAGTGCCTTTCTTGCTTTCTTTAGTGGCCTTTTGCTTGTGTCTGGGGGTGTCTGCTTATTTTATTTATTTATTTATTAGATTTGTATCCTTTTATATCCTTTTTCTTTTTAAAGAACTCTTAGTGGCTCACATTCTCCTCCTCTCAGTCTTATCCCCACAACAACAACCCTGTGAGATAGGCTGGGCTGCGAGTCTGACTGACCCAAAGTCACCCACTTGCCTCCATGACTGACTGGGGACTAGAACCCAGATCACCTAAGTCCTAGTCCAGCATTTTTAGCCACTGCACCTCACTGGCTGTCTTACCTGCATTGCTTTTTGTGTTTCTGGGCATTCTTTTAAAACTGCCATGAGGCCTTGTTCCAGGAAAAGATTGTGTATAGTACAGTTCAGATGTTGCAGAATGGGATTCCACATATGCCTACTCCTGATCATGGTGTTGTCTGGGGAGAACTATTTTGGCCACATGCCAATTTCTGTTGAGTTTTAGGGGTGGCTGTCTAGCCTGGTTGATCGCAGTGCCGCAAGCTGGTTTCTGATTTTGCTTGGGAGCAAAACTGGTAGGTGAGTCAGGCAGGTGGACTGATGAAAGAGCTCCCTGTTGTTCCCAGGAAATGGGCTGGATCTTGAAATAGTTGCTTGTCTGCCAGTACTGCAAGAACCTTTCCCCCTTTATGAGTTTCATTCTGTCTGGTCAGTGAGCTGAATGTTCTGTGTGGTCTCTGTTTATAGCAATTTTATCCTGCCCCTCTGGCAAAAGACTCCTAGAGCAACTTACAGAATCAAGAAATAAGATGGTTGCTTGGTTTGTGCAGCATTTTTCCTCGTTCTTTAGTTTTGCTCGTTCTTTAGCATACATTTCCTCTCGCCCCATTTCTTCCAGTTGCCAATCTAGCCCAACCTGGAACTTTCGCTGGCAATGATGCGATCGTAGCCTTTGCAAGAAACAATCAAGTGAATGTTGTTATTCACCAGGTCAATGCTCCTCTGTGGCAGGTAAACCCCAAACCAAATCGCCGATCATCTACCGACTCGGGTCTGCAGCACCTGTGCAGACTTTTCCTCACGTTCCCATATGGTTGATGGTAAAATTTTGGGAAGCTCTTGTGTGTCACCAGTTCTTGAATTTCAGGTGATTCCCAGAGCCAGAAGCACTTGGGGCATAGTTCTGTGTAATGCAAACTGGAATCCTGAACCCCTGAATAAGTGGATTCAGACAACACAGTAGCCCTCGCTCAGGAGTTTAGAGTGGGTTCAGCATGGGCTATTGTTGGAACATGCGTTACTGTGTTGTCTGAGCCCAGCCAAGATAAATTATGTCAAACAACCCACAGTTCGTAACCCAGCGACAAACCATGAGTTCTGTATATGGGTTGCTCATGCATAACAAACCATGGCTTGTTAGTGTGCCTGGGTTCGGAAACTCACAGTTCAGTGGCAAGGCACTCAACCTGAGTTCAGGTTTTCATGTTGTCTGAACGCAGTCACTGTGACTCAGGCATGCGAGACTGTGGAAAATGGTTGCTCTTTGGCATGTGTGCCTCAGTTGAGGGATACTTGTAGGGAAGGTGCTTGCATGCAGCGTAGGTTTTTACTTTTCGTTTGTTATTTTATTAATTTATTTTACTCCTATACTATCCAGTAGCCAGAGCTCCATTCACAAAAATTACAATCCAAAACCACAAGGAATAGACATATGAGACCTTAAACATACAAAATGTTAAAAGAATGAGATCCTGTGCATCCGTGTTCAGATATAAACCTCACTGAATTTAGTGGGATTAACTTTCTCTCCCTTTCCCCCTCGTGTACTGGGTGGGACGGCGGGGAGGGGGAGAAATTCTTGTGCAGAAACTCAGATGGGAGGGCACGGGGGCCCGTGAATCCAGGCAGGAAATGGAAAATGTCTGGCTGAGTGAAGGGCTCGTGTTCTCGAAAGTGCTTAGACTGGCAGCCCAGCGCGTTCACCCCCTCATAAAGCGTCCCTCCACCTTCCTCAGATCCGCGGAACAGACAAAAGCAACGCCCAGGAGCTGCACATTGCGTATCGGTATGGAGAGCATTACGACAGTGTCCGGAAGATTGACGACAACTCGGAGGCCCCCGCCCGACTACAGACAGAGGTTGGTGCTCTTGACATGTGGCGAGATGCACTCCGAGGATGTTGCCGAGGCTGAGCTGGAGCAACTTGCTGGGTAGCTGATTTCTACCTGTGCAGAAATGCGTGGATGGAAATCGAAGCCTTCCATTTAACATGTTAAATCAAGCTTACTGGGTTAAGGCTAGAGTGGAATTTAATTGTCCAAAGGGGGATGGCTAAGCTGCCCTGGAAAAGTTGTTTGAAGGGTATTATTTCTGGTTGCTCCAGGAGGTGCTGGGGAGGCTGAGAGCTCAGCACAGCACAAGGATGTCCCGCTAGCCATTTCCCTTCCTAAATGTTCCCGGGAGGGAAGGGGGAGCTGGTGTGGGGATACTGATTCTCCCAGCACCATCCTGACTGGTATTGCATATCCCGCTTGTCAAGTGCTTGCTGAGTTCACCCGCTTGCTTTTTGGGTCCTTCTAGATGCTGTGCAAAAATGAGTCGAATAAAAAGGAGAAAATCCAGCTCAGGAAGGAGGAGGAATCTTCAGAAGGGACACAAAATGAAATAGAGGACGCGGTCCAGAAAGTTCGGAACGCGACCGGCTGCCTGGTTAGCACTGAACCCCCCCTTGTGCCATGGATGAGCACTCTTTGAGTCTCGCTCTGCAGCCACCTGTGGATCCACCTAACCATTGTTCCATCCAGCCCTGTTTTTAGCTTGTTTTCTGATCAGGATATTATGGGAAGTCGAGATAAAAAGCTGAGTGCATGTTTGTGTCGAAGGACTTACCGTGAACTTGGTTCTAGTCACAGTCGTGTTCTTGGTATGGGCAGAGGCACCCTGCTGCTTGATTCTGAATCGACATGCCTCAGCTATTGTTTTGCATGTTGTTGTGGCTGATGGATCGCAGAGTTCCTGTTAAAAGCACACAAAGAAGGTCTTGCAACCTCGCAGTTTGATCTTGCACCCTGATCTGCATGATCCTATGTGAAAGGAACGAGGAGGGACGGGCGGGGCCTGGTTTCAGTACTTGGATGCTGTTTACGTAATGAAGTTGCGCACCGACTGGTGGGGAAGTGATTACCGGGAGGCCGTTGTGGGAGCTGAATGGTGCCTGGTCCCAGGCAGTTGGTGAACGGGGCTTCGCTGTGCCACCGCTCTTGCTTCAGAAGAAGAAAAGGAAGGCCGAAGGCGAGATGGGCAGGCTCCGCCAAGGGAGCCTCGGCCTTGAACGTGCAGCTGCTGAGCGGGGCTGTCGTGGGCAGGACGTTTTGCAGGGCGTACATGCATGGGGTTGCTGCAAGTCGAGGGTGCCTTGGCAGCACGAAACAACAGCACCTCCCAGGGGGTTGTAAAGATGTCCAAAGGTGCAATCCAGTGCAGATTTAGACGGGGGAAACGGCCTACAGTGCCCAACAGCTCCCACCTGTCATCGACCTTTTTCCTGCTGAAACTTGAGCAGAATTGCACCCTGAGCAGCAGGCCAGGAGGTGTCCACACTGACCTAGCGTGTCTCTTTTTCTTTGCAGGATGCTGATTTAATTGTCCAGATCCTTGAAACGGAGGACTACAACATCGAATCGGCCATATTTGCTGTTCTTCAAATGAACGAGCTGAAAAGGCTCTGTGAGTATGGAAACGTCCGTTACTCTGCTCCTCTTGCGGGCTCCTGTGCAGCGCGATCGGGTGCAGCACGAAGCAAAGCAGTGTCAGATTGCATTGCTCTGCTTGGGGGGCGCCAGCTATTGCCCCCCTCCTTCAGAACATAATGCAACAATTAGGAAAGCAAAACAAGAACTTGGAAGAAGCAAAGCAAGGCCTTGGGCCTGCCAGTGACACTGTGCCCTGACAGAAACCGCACACGGTACACATTATGGACCTCAAGAGTTAGGGAAAGGCACTTCTTCACACGCGTGCGTTTCACATGGCGCTGCCGCCCGCCTTGTTTAGAAAAGGAGGCTGCCTCTTCCACCACTTACTGCTGAATGAGTCCAGGGGGAAATCAGGGGAGCGTTCTGGGAACTCGCTGCTGCAATGCCAGGCCTCTTGGCCTAGTGTTTTATGTGCCGCACACGCGTCTGTGTCCCAGGGGTCGGCTGCAGAATTAGGACTGTCGCAATGGAAGTGTGCAGTGTTAGGAGGAAAAAAGCGAGGGCAGGGCTCCTGGAACGTTCTTCGGGCCAGGGTTACTTACTTACTTACTTACTTACTTATTTAGAAAATTTCTATGCCGCCCCATTCGCCGAAGCCTCCGGGCGGCTCACAAAACATTAAAATATAATACATTAAAAATATAAAACGAATTTACAATATAAAATAAGTCGCACCATTATGCTTCCGGGGTACGCAGAACAGTGAAAGAGCCTTTCTGAATGCCATTCTTCCGACAAAAGCGTTTCCAGGGTAGCTTTCGAGATCAGAAACGAGGGTTCCTGCCTGTGAACTTAGGAGGAGGAAAGACGAGGAGGAGGGCGCCTGAGTTTTGCCCTCCCGGCCCTTGAGACCGGCAGCAGGGGCGCTCCTCTGGGAGCCTTCCGTGAGCAAAGTACCCGGAGGAGGGATTTCTCTCTGGGGGCACCCCATCTGTGGAATGCGCTCCCCAGAGAGGTCCGCCTGGGGCCGTCGCTATTTGTTTTTCGGTGCCAGGCCAAGACCTACTTATTTAAACAATATTTTAACATTGTTTAATGCTTATAGGTTTTAATTGTGCAGCCAGGGTGTTTCCAGGTTTTAATTGTTATTGTTATTTATATTGTATTTATTTATTTCTGTGAGCCGTCCTGCGGCTATATAGCTAGGGGACGGCATATAGAAACTTTAAGTAAGTAAGTAAGTAAGTTCAGGGCATGGAGACCACTGCAGGTTCCCCCATTTTAGGTTTGGCCCTGAGCCCTGAACATGCTTAAGGGGGACTGAGCTGATTAGACGCACTGGGGCTTCGTCCGTAGCCTCGTGTTGTAAATGAGCAGTGAATTCCCAACTGGTTCACCACCGTCTTCCCATAATGTGAAGGATTTCAGCTGGGCGGCTTTTATTCCTGGGTTACTTTATTTTGCTGTGGTGTTTCATTAGATGGGTCCCGCTTTCACCAGGCTGTTGTAACATTTTCTCGTGGTGGTTGGCTCTTGTTGGGTCAGTTCCTGTGGGTCTGTATTTCTAGTGTTAATGCCTTTTATATTGCAAACGTGTGAAAATTTGCATGTAATTGTAAGCCAACTTGTGGGAAAACTTTTATTTTTGCTAAAAAGCGGGGGTGTCTGCAGGAGAAAGGTGGGTGGTGTGAGGGAGGTGCTTAATATTCTGCCCACGTGACAGTTTCGTCTGGAAAGCTACCTTTCTGCCAGCACCAGCGGTGCCTCCCTCTGGGGAGTGACTGCTTAGGGGAGAGGACTTGCAGCAGAGAAGTGGTGGGTGGGAGACGAGCGAGTGAAGCGTCTTCCAGCCTCTCTTTCTTCCCTTCCTCCCGCATTAATAATGCGGGCCTCCGCCTCTTCTCCTCTGCCCTGAGGGCCATCAGGTGACACCTTTCTGGCTGCCATGTTTCCTCCTGGGTGCGGGACCAGGACAAGAAGGCCAGAGGACGGAACGTGCTGCGTTGCTGAGGAGTTGCCCTTCTCTTGTAGGTGCTGAGGAAGCCGAGGATGGATCAGCAAACCGGCAGAAGCTGCATCCCGCTCCAGCCCTGCGGGGAGAGAACGGAAGTGGCAGCGGGATCGTTGGAAGCCTAGAGCCTGAAAACAACAAGCCCCAGGCGAACCAGATGGGGAGCCGGCCAGCCCGCAAGCAGCAGCCGCCGCCAAAGGTATGGCGAGGGAGCTGGTGTGGCGCCCGTGGGGCGGCTGCGGAGGGCCGGCAGGGAGGAGTGCCCCCTCTCCAAAGGGCTCCAGGGCAGCCTTGCCCAGTGCCGCGCCTGCTGGCTCTGTGACTCCTCGCCCGGTTGGGGGTGGCCGCCGCAGAGCGCTCTCGGGTCGTGAATGCAGACGACGCCTTCCCGGGCTCGCTCTCCACGGCTTGGTGGCGCGCATCATCCGTGCGCACAGTCGCTACACAGACGCTGGTCATGCTCGTGCCCCCGGCAGTTGTGTTCATTGCTCCTCCAAGCGCCGCCTCCTGCCCTCCCAGTAACGCCTCGCCAGTGCCCTGCTTTCTCTCCGGCTGCCTGCCTTCGGCTCCGCTCCTCGCCTGTGCCCCCGTCATTCCCCGTGTCCCATTCCCTGCAGCCAGAACAATTCTCCCACACATTTCCATCTCTTGACTCCCCTTCACCCGTTGCATCCAGTTTGCTTCTCTGTCCCTGGTCCTGGCTCTGCCCCTTCGACAGTGTTTTTTTCAAATCTCAGGCCTTTCCAGCTCTTTGCCGAAATACGTGCCAAGAGGAATTGGGTGCAGGGGTTTCAGTTGTGCCTCTCGTGCCTCCAGTCTTACACAGACACGCATACCTGGCTCTAGAACAAAAGCTGATGCTTGCCCCGCTGCGTGTGTTTTGGCTGTTCTTGTTCTCCCCCAAGTCCTTCAGCACTGTGTGATAATAGTCAAAACATCCTGATGGGAAGAGGTGTGCAGGGAAGTGGAGACTCGCATGAGGAGGGCCCGGAAGGAAGGAAGGAAGGCAGGCTGCTTCACAGGAGGGTGTGGTGCCTTCGCACCAGCTGACTGGCAGTGCCCAGGTGTGGCGCAATGAACCTCCTGCGGCTGTGGAAAGTGGCTGCCCGTTGTCGGAGGTGCTGAGCTCTGTGTCCCAGCTCTGCTTTGGCTTCATAAATATCGACCTTCAGCAGAATTCTGTGTCCTGCGGTCGCCCATTCTTTTCCCATGGCCGATTTGGTTTGCGGTGGTTTTGGCTCCACTGGGGACGTTGGTGTGTCCTGCAGGCTGCAGAATGGAGTCATGGTTCAGTCCATCTGGCAGACCCCCGTCTCCACTGTGCTGCCCAGGGACACGTTCCTTGCCTTTCTTGTCTTTCAAGGAACTGCTAAAGTCCTCCATCGGAAGGGGGAAGGCCCACCCCTTTCCCGCTTTCCCCACTGCTTGTGCCCCCGACTGCCCATGGTTCTGCCCCACCTCAGCACCCACGTTGGACACTCCGCCCCCAGAAGGCTCCCTCTGGTTCACCTCCCTCCTCTTCCTCCGCTGGCAGGTATCCAACAAGCAGAAGAAGGAGCAGCAGCGGTTAGAGAAGAAGCGACGGCAGGAGGACAGGCACCGGCAGAAGGTCCTGGCCAGCAGGAGCAGCACCTCGGACAATGACAGGAACGCGGTAGACTCTGAAATGCAGGTCACGCTGGTGAAGACCTTCGCAGCACTGAATATCTGACTCGATGGCTACGCCTTTCAGGTTTACGCGCGTGGGAGAAGAGGGACGTGTGGGCCCTTTACTTTGCAAGGCCAGGCCGCCCTTGTCGAGCCAAACGCCTCGCCCGTCTCTGAAGGCAGGGGGCCGGCCGGCCCACCGGGCTGATGGATGGTTGGCCCCGCATGTGACTCCTGGTCTGCGCAGGAGGAGCAGCTGCAGCAGCGCTGAAGCAAGAGCAGCCGAGGCAGAATCCCCTGACACTGTCGGTCTCCTGCAACTTGCTTCCGCGTCTTGCAGATCTGCCTGCAGGATTTTTCACTTACATTGATGCTCCACAGCCATCCTGCAGTTTCTTTCCTCAGGAATCAGCCCATCTCTTTTGCAAACCAAATGGCAAATCTTCCCGAGGCCCATCCCAAAGTGAAGTTCAGCGTGCCAAAACCTGGACTGAAGCGGCCTTCTCAGCAGCAGTCGGCCTTTCTGCTTCAGCTTGTGGGAGCAGGGCTGGCTTGTGGGTGAAGCCGCACATTCTCTACAAACAGGAATTTTAATTTACCACAAACAGCTTATAATCTAGGCCCATGGGGTGTGGGGGTGGACATTGAGCCTCTGTACCCTCAGTGCAAGTACCGGGGAGGCCTGCCTCTCGTGAACTCCTCTGCCAGGTCAATCTAACCTCGCCTGTAATGAAGGGGAGCAAGAGGGCTTCAGGGATGACAACCGAAGTTTGGCGCCGTTTGGTAGCCTTCGTTCATGAGCAGAGCTTGGGCGGGACCCGCTCTTGTAAGACCTTGCCTTCTGCCCTTCTCGCGTGTGGCAAACGTATCCCTTAAAAATGTGCAGGGGTTCGGCGTGGAGGGGTGTTGAAGTCGGCTTCTAAAGCACCACCAGGAGGAAACACACATGCTCCCCCGGCACTGTGAGGTCAGTGGAACATCATACAAACAAGGCTTCCAAAGTACTTTTTCATGTTTGAGTATCCGGAGTGCCTTGTATTTCTGAGCATTACAGGCCTTTATCCAAAGATGTGAGAAACTCAAACACCTCTGGAATCTTCGAGTTCACTTTATAGACTCAGTTATATTGGTAAAAGTCATACTTGCACTATTTCCTTGTTTTGCTCCCTGAAAACACATTTTCCTGCAGAGAGCGTTTTATTCATTTTGTTAAGAGAAATTAATTGCAGCAGTTGTTGGATCTGAATGAATGGAAATGAGTTGTGGTTTTTTTAATAGCATGAGTCGCGTGTACTGTAAGCTGCCATACGGAATGAATCTTGCGTGCCTTCACTGGTTGGTTAGAAGCGACAGTTTTGGAAAATGCAACATTTCTCATTCCAGTGCAGCCAGGGTGAGAAAACGTAGCCCTCTCCAACTGGTTTGGGAATAGGATTTTGTCACTACGGGTATCTGTTAGCCAAATGGTGGATTTACTGGACTCTTACTTTAAAAAAAATCCTTGGAGAGAGGAAGGTTCTGTTTGGCCTCTGGGGCCAGGAGTGCTTTCGCACTGCGCGCAAGTGCGGTGGAAGCGGTTAGAGGAAGGGGTGTCGGGTGTTGCCTTCCTTCTGGATTGGTGCGGCACATGCCCTCCCCTTGGTTTGGGTCTTCTCTGATGTTTTCACGTCAGCAGGAATCTGGCTTGCTGTTCAGCAACTCGGTCAACCTTTTCCCCCGCTTTAAAGCCAAATGCAAACGGTCACGGGTAGTCATAATTCCGATAAAAAGGGATGTAACAGAGATCAGGTATAAAGCTGTTGGGGGCTATATGGATGGGCTGAGGGAGGAGGGAGCAAATCTGTATCTGTGGTCGTCTCAATAAACTTATCCTCATTGAGGCTGCTGACCAGTTAACCAACCAAAGTCTGTTTCTTCAGTGACCCTGCGGACACCTGTTGTGTACACATTGGCTGTACCTTCCTTCCCCAGCAGCTCTGGCAGTAAAAGAAGTCAGTTCTGTTTGGAACCTGCCATTGTTAAGTATTTGTTATAGCAGTTTTTCACCTTCAGCCAAAGAGTTCTCACAGTGGCTTGCAGATAAGAAGTAAGGCACACTGACCATACCTAGAGAATCTGAAAGGCGTGTCACGACAGGAAAGGGGCGGCAGAGCAGGAGGAAAAACACAGTTGGGTTTTAAAAAAAACCCCCAGCTGCCGCACCTTGTTCTGGGCACGGGATGCTCGTAAAGCTCCGCGTTCAGCAGCTCGTGTGCGTTGAGGGTGTGGGCCACGGAAGGGCACCCTAAAATAACCAGGCTGCTGCGCTGGATGGAAAGCCTGTGAATCAGTCCATCCACTACCCTGGCGTCCTGCAAGGAACCCGAAGCCGCTTTCCCAGTCGTCGTCCTCTTCATTTTATCCTCACAACAACCCTGTGAGGTTTGGCTAGTCTGAAGGTGGGTAGAAGGCCCGAAATACATAGTAGCTTCATGGTTGCGTGGGGGACCGAACCTGGAGTGCCCCAGCCCCTGCCCAGCGTTCCAGGCATGGCATCGTATTAGGTCTCTTTCCAGCATAGCCTCTTCAGAATAAAAACACCTGGAGTCGGCATAGAATAGAATGGGAAGGGTCGGGGCCCGTGAGGCCATTGAGACCAGCCCCTGCTCCGCTGCCACACGTGGTCACCCATCTGGCCTCAGGTCTGGCTTCTCCAGCCTAGCAGAGGTGACGCACCCCACCAGCTTGGCATATGGCTAGCGTCACCAGTGATCCATAAAGTTACAATATTCCTGGCATGAACACTGAGGAAGAAAGTGCTTGTTTCTTTTTAAGAAATTCCAAGTAGTTCCTGTATTTCATTGTAAAAGAGCATTAAGTTCACACAGACGCAGAGTGTTGTAAGCAAAACCCATCTTTAACTTTTAAAGAGTCATTTAGGGGTATTGTCTTTAAAGTTCAAGGTGGCAACAAGTAGCAAAATGGAGCAGAGAAGTCAGTGAGGACTTTGCTCTTTTGAGGACAGATGCTGCACTCTGGGAACCGTTGTCCCATCTGCCCCGTGAGGACAGATGGAGGGTCTTCCCATCCCGGTCCTTTATGCATTCCGGGGTCTAGCACACTTGCGAGGGCAAAGCTCTCAAGACGTCTGGTCCAGGCAAGGCAGGAGAACTCTTAGCTGATGGAGCATTTATTGGGGGCAATTCCTGGGCAGTCCCTCTCCCCAGAGGGAATAAAATCTTTATCAAATAAACCATGGGAATCCATGAGGCAAATGGAATAAAATCTCTCACAGATGCATATATTAGATTCACACCACAAGGCACTGTTCACTGTATCTGTTGAGAGAGAGGGAGAGCCCAGGAAGAGAAAGGGAGGAGTTAGGACAGATTAAGACACTGTCATTAAAAAGAACACATCTTGGTGCACTTCTCTTCCCAAAGGTGAAGGGGCCACGCACCAGGACAAGAACCCTCCCCCCAAAGGAGGCCTACCCCAACTTGGAGCTCTCCAGATGCATTGGACTGTAATTCCCGTCATTCCCAGCCAGGACGGGGAATTGGGAAGGCTACATCACTGCATGTAATGGGGTTTCCACCCGGTGCCTGTGATGTACAGGTCTATGTGGGTTACTTTACCCCTAAGTAGGCAGATGGTAATGTGGAATTTCGTGATAAATTTTGGGGCAGTTAGCAGAGATTTCTCACTATCAGTGGATTAGCAAAAGTGACCACACAATTGTTCTTGTTGAAACATGGGTTATTGTTCTGTCTGAACCCAGTCATGTTTACAAAGTATGATTTATTAAGAACAAACAACCCTCGGTTCACAAGCCAATAACAAACCACGGGTTCTTTTCATGGGCTGTTCCCAGCTGACAAACCATGGTTTGTTAGTGCAGTTAGGCTCAAGCAATATGACAACCCATGTTTCAACAACAACCCATGGTTTAATGACAACGCACACTCAACCCCCACTGTGGGTTATTGCATTGTCTGAACCCAGCCATGGTCTACAGCTAGGTGGGAGGCAACCTCTTTTCTTTTTTTTAAAGGCCAGATAAACTGCCAGGGAAAATAAAACTCATTGTCTTCATCGGCACTGACTACTCTCTGGAGAACAGAGTAGCCCCACCCCCCGCCCGGTGTCTGAAATCTAGGAGCAAGTTGATCCCAGTTTGGGTACTGCTCGTCTATTCAATGGCCTCCTCGCTTTCAGTTTTCTCCTTCGCACCAGGCATTCTGATTCAGCTTGTGGAAGTGGTCTGGTGTCTAAACGGTAAATTCTCACCTCTCAGCCTTCTAACAGTAGCCTTACTTGGATCACCTTCCTATTTATACACCTTTTTAAAATTTCAAGTGCTTTAAAAACATGGCACGTGCTCATTCATAGGTTACCTTGCTGGGGAAAATCCACAACGCTCACTATAAAATCTACTGCAGACGTGCATGCCAAGGACTGTGGAGGGAAAGGGCACGGACGGGACTGGCGCTAGCCGACGGGTCCCTGCCGTAGCCCCGTCTCCCCCATGGAAATGTGGCAGAGCAAGTTTCTGAGCCTGAACCAGGATAAGCGGAATGGCGTCATATAGGGATGCCCATGTATTTTACAGGGCAGAAGATGCAACCAGACTTTTAAAGAAATGCTTTAGTTGAAGAAGGTGCAGACTCACGGCATTCAACGATTTGGCCGTCGTAGGTGTAGGTGTAACTGCTTGTTTTGGTGTCGCACCTGGAATTCTTTAGAGACTCATAGCAGCAGTTCAGAATCTGGCAGCAGCTATCGGAAGAAGGAAGACAAGGAAAGGGGGTCCTTTTGCACCTTGACCAGGTAAGTAAAACTGCTCTTTAGAAGGGCAGACAGTGAAGATGAAACTCAAATACTTTGGCCACCTAATGAGAAGGAAGGACTCCCTGGAGAAGAGCCTGATGCTGGGAACAATAGACGGCAAAAGAAGGAGGGGACGGCAGAGGATGAGGTGGCTGGATGGGGCACTGGGGCGGTGGGTGTGGGGTTGGGTGGACTCCGGGGGATGGTGGAGGACAGGGAGGCCTGGAGGAGTGTTGTCCACGGGGTCGTGATGGGTTGGACATGACTTTGCGACTCCCAACAACAGGTAAGAAAAGGATGATCTGGGTTTTTTTGAAGACTACAGCTATCCTTTCCTTACATTTCTGTACTGTAATAAAATATTATGTACATTATTTCACACACACTATACTAAAACACTCGCCAAAGATTAAAAGCCTGCAATACAGTAAGAAAACATAATACGAGTTACATATAAAATATAGTGCTTTAGGGTGCAATCCTATGCATATTTGGGCAAATACAAATTCTGCAGCTACCAGCATGCTTCAGATAGCATGCAGTGCTGTACGACTTTATTCTGTGTAAACATGCAGTCTACATGGACATGCACATGGTGGGCATGTCATGAGTGGAGCTGGCCGGAGCTGGGGTCAGACTAGATGGTCCGGGAGGCCCCTTCTGACTCACGCTGTTTCTGTGTTTCTATGTTTCTACATTATGGGGTAATCCAGAATCGCCATAGGAATCATTCTATGGAGTACTTTCATACCTCAAATAATAGGTCGCTACAAAGGACTCTCAGCTAAAACTTCCAGCAAACAGAAATACAATCCATTGAAAGAAAGCTCCGATTTTTTAAAAGTAAATAGGCTAAACTATTGTTATGCAGAGAAAAGATCAATGGGACAAACATTGTCATGCAGATTTTCTTGTTTTGCACAGCCTCAGAAAGGATTAAACCTTAAATTACATGTACTTGCTGAGAGCTGAAAGCTATTCTTAGGTTGACAGAAACCTGCTGGGGAAAGGCCTCAGCCAGAGCAAATTCCTCTCCAGTGCTGCATTTTCTCTGCCCAGGGCACTTTTGCCTGGGGCGGGAAATGGTCCCACATGTAACTAATGTTAGTGTTTTGTTGGCTCAGGGTGAGCGGTGAAACCATCATGGTTTTATTAAATTTCAGTACTGCTCCATGGCTGAGCCCTCCCTGAGCAGACCAGAATCCCTAAAACCATAAAATATCCAAGGATAAATATATTATCAAAACTGAAAAAAAGTGTGAAATGAAAAGAGAAAACAAAAAAGCATGATGCAAGATTTAAAATACAGTAAGGCTGCAGTTCAAAGAGTGGATGCTTCCAAAGAAGCTGACGTGCTCGGAGAGCGTGGTCCCGCAGTGGCCTTCTCTACTCCGCCTGGCACCATGGATTTGGTCTCGGCAGCCGCCTTGGGCCGTCTGGAGGAAACGCAGTGGAAGTGGAGAGGAGGAGGCCTGGCCCGGCCTGGCCCTTTTCTTGCTCCTATTGGAAAAATTTGGGTAAATACTGTCTGAAAAGCATTACTTTTGTGTGCTTTTGAATTGTGGGATCAAATCCTGTCTTCCTTCTCAAAACCAAGCTGGCACTGTTTAAAATGGCATTCCCCCGCTCCTTCCTCTCACCTTTAGCTGTGGGCTACAGTAGACAGGCCATTTTAGCCCAAATATCCATTGTAAATAGTCATTGTTGGAATTCAGTTTACAATAATCTTTTGATAGCCCAGAGGGCTTCATGTGCCCTGATCATGCAGAATGTTTACAGTTGAGATAAGGGTCTGAGCTGGTTCAAGTTACTCAACTAAAGTGTCAATACAGACAATTAGAAATATTGTAATCTTATTGTCTCTGTATGATTGACTGACATTTCTTTATCTGTTCTGTATGTGATGACCTCAGAATCTTATTGTTATCTCTGCATCCTGTCACCAATTGCCCTGTACCTGTGTACCTATAAATGCCCTGTAATGGCACTGAAGCTTTGCAGCAGAATTCACCTCTGCCTGTCCGGTAATGCATTATCGTGAGTACCGTGGGAACCTTGGGGTAAAACAGTAAAGCCTCAGATGGTCTGGAC